TGGTTCTGACACTAAACTCAAGCATATGACAAACATTCTTCAGAAAGCTCTCCTAAATAAAGTAAACCTCCTGCCCCCATGATCAATTACCTCTCCCTGGGGCTGGGGATTTAGCTCAGCAGCAAAGCGCCTGTCTGGCAAGCGCAAGGTCATGAGTTCAGTTTCCCGTACCAGAGAAAAAAAAAAAAACAATTACCTCTCCCTTTTATTTGACTGTGACTGTTTAGGGCTAGAACCTTAACTCACTTTAGTGTAAGGGCCTCAGTATATACAATGTTCACTTCTTATTTAACTTATAAAAAGCTAAGTCTGTAATATATAATGATGATATTGAGAAAATAGAAAGTCTGACCCTTTTCCCTGTGACAGCCAGAGGGGGAATGATCCCACTGTCTCTCTCTTCCCCTTGCCTCTCCCACGGAAGTCTGTGGCAATTACCTGAGCTCCAGGGTCTTCTTGCCACCCCTCTGGTTGCTTTGGCACAATCTCTAGACTGAGCTGACAAGAGCCATGGGCAGCCCTAATGTCCTTCTCCTGCACAGAGCCTCTCTAGGCACTGCTGCAGCTTCTTTAAAGAACAGTTGGAAAATTACAACAGCACAGCGATTAGGGAGAAACTAAGGCCCACCTCCCTTAATCCTGGAATCCACAAACCTCAATGGGCCAGTATCAGTACCGCTGCCCCTCCTGGAGACCCCTCAAAACCAACGACAGTCTTGATTTCAGCCCTGCCACTTCCTCTGAAAAGCAAGAAGTGTCAATCAGGCTGCTGCTTCTTCCACTACTTAGCATGAGTTCTCACTATGACAGCTGAGTCTGTCCTAGGCACTCCACTACTGCTCCCAGAGACATTTACCTTGGCCACAGCTGGCTTCAAACAAGGACCTATCCCAGGTCCTATCTTAGTGGCTGAACTGCTTCACAACCACTGCAAATGACTACAACCTCAGACAACGCCACTCTCATCGGAAACTACTCCAAATATCCCCAAATAGGTCCACAAAATGCAGGAAATTGCATGTATGGGCTGCGACTTCGCTATATAAACAGTGTTCCCTCACACTCTGAGTCAGTGGAGAAGGGCTCCTTCTAGTACACTACCCGCTGTGCCGCAACATGATCCCAACATAAGCCTCTCACAGGCGATCCTACTCATGATTCTTACCTGGGATAGAGTGAGCTGAGCTAGTTAGCTGAGTATGATGGGGAAGGCCTGGATTCTCAGCATTTGGAAGGCTGAGGCAGGAGGATTACAAATTTGAGTCCTACCTGGACTGAACTTTACAACACCTGCTTGCTAGAACTGATAGGTTCTGCTTTTCTGCCCTTGCAAAAAAAATTTTTTTCACCTGTGCCAACCAGGATGTGGTTTTCAAGCTTAAAAGTTCAAGTAAAAGTTCAAACTTTCTTCGGTTCGGGGCTGCTCAGCATCTCTTGTGGAGAACAGACTGACAGCCACCAGCCCAGCTAATAAAGGCTCTTAAAATTCCAATTTGGATTCTAGTCTCAGTTCTTTATTCAGGGTAACCCATTACAAAGACAAGCATAGATTTAGAACAGACAATAAGCTACCAATCTTGAAAATGCAAAAGGAAAACAGTAATAGAAGACAAAAGTAAAAAGGTAAAGAGAAGACTGCAAGGAAAGGCAGAGGCTAACACCTTCATTCTGTAAAGTGTGAAGGCAAAAGACACTATCTGTAGTTCCCAGAAAATCAAATAACATAAGGGCTTATCGTTATTACACACATTGTTCTTAGGTAACAATAAATGCTAACTGTGTGCCAGGCACTTACTAAGAATGTTTAGGGGCTGTTCATTTAACTGTGTAACACAACCATAGGAGTGATCCTTGTGTATAGGCAGCTGAGTTAGACAGAAATATTGTAAGCAGTCAGACAGGGCCAGGCCCTCGAAGGAGCAAACATAAAAGATATGCATTTGCTGTGGGCCAGACCTCAGGACAAAGGACTAAACAAATGCACCCACATACCTCCCTAGGGATGGACACCAGGGATTTATATTCTAAATAGGTAGCAGTCAGCTTCAAGGGGTTGACCCAACCCCTTACAGGAAAACCCCTGTTCTGTATTCATGCCCACTTGCCACGTGACTCCCTTCCCCATTTGATCCCAATTTAATCAGTTTTACTTGAACAATTCTTATTGGCTGACCATAGTTTTGCCCATTTTTCCCCTACCTTGGACGCACCTCACCTCATGGTTTTGTTCTATAAAAGTCCCTAGAAAAGACAGAGTCTTGTCCCTCTCTTGGATAGAAGCTTTCTTTCCCTCAATAAATATATTCTGCTCTTAACCTCCACTGTTCCTAAAATTCATCCTTCGATTTTAGAGAACACGAACTCATCCCAGATATCATTCAGATTTGGAGTTTTTATTTTCCTATATCACTTGAAGAAAACAAAGTGAAAATATTTGGACTGGGGATACAGCTCAGTGGCAGAGCACTTGTCTAACATGCAAGACCCTGGGTTAGATCAGGGGTACCACAAGCAAAAGTAAAATTTTTTAAGCTGCACAGTAACCGAGGCAGGAAGCAATGATGGTCATGTACTTAAAGCGGAAGAAAGAAAAAGGGGTACAGTGAAGATAGGTTGATGCTTTACATACTGGGGCAAGAAATAAAAAGATAATAATTGTGGAAAAGGACATTCTCTAGATGTATTGCCTCAGGCCTGACCAAGCCATGGTTGTCGGGTTCTGAAGGAAGTCTAGCAAAAGCATTGTTGTCCTTGAGGACAAGACTAGATGCTTTTCTGAGATATGCCCTAAGCAAGATAACATGATGGTTTACTGGTCGAGTCTCACTGCTGTGATAATGGAGTTGTATTGGCCTTGCAAAAACAGTGAGATCAACCGAACTGCAGGGCTGCCTCCTTTGTTCTCGCTAAATAAAAGTTTACTGGAGATGGCGGAGCTTGAGTCTGGAAGGCGACTAGCCCCCTGAGCCCATATATGTATGGCTCTGAAGTTGTTCTTTGGACGAGGGGATTAAGACATCCGCGGGCACCTCGTTCTGGGGACCTGTTCACCCTGGACAGGGATGAATGAGTTATCCAACAAATAATGTCAACACTCTTAAGTCAAGAAACAAGCAAAAGTATACTATCTAGAGAATGGCGATCATTCCCAGAAGAACTAAACTGAAACAATTATGGGCCGGAGATATAACTGCAACACAGTGCCTGCCTGGCAAGCACAAGGCCATGAGTTCAATCCCCAGTACCAAAACAAAAACAAAAACAAAAACCACAGTTTACCAATCTGTATCTCCATTAACAGCTAAGTTCTTTATTCATCTTTTTGCAAATAAGGAAATTTCAATGCCCTGTTCATCACAAGTACAAGGACAAGGGACAAAATTCTTGTGCAGATTACTGATACTCACAAACCTGCCACTTTCACACTAGGCTAGAGCTTCAGGAACGATAACAGTGGCAAAATGTGTTGAGTCAACCTAGACAGATGCTGTAGGAGGTGTCCTAAATTCAGCAGATCTTATATACTATCCCAGCCGAGGTCACAAACCATAATCTAGGAGCTCAAGCCAGCCCTCACACATATTCAAGTTAGTGTGCATAATGTTGACATCTATTATGCTTTGGGTTATTTTGTTTTGTTTTATGGTACCAGGGTTTGAATTTAGTGCCTTTGCACAGGCTATATCCTAAGGCTTTCTTCAAAAGTTTTTATTTTGACAAATGATTTTGCTAAGTCACTAAACTGTCACTAACAGGTTCAAACTTGTGATCTGCTTCAGTCTCCCTGTGTTGACATTACAGGCACGCACTACCACAATTGGCCCCACCACGATCTTAATTCTGAAAAAGCAGCACTCACATAAAAATTCTAAATGCTACTTTCTGAGCCAAAAGAGGCAGTCTCCCCAGGGACAGGGTGTCCTGCTTTGCCACATTTAGTCTGCACCCTTACTTTATGTCATCAGGCTGGCCCTTGATAGGTCTCTGCACTTCTGACCCTTGCTGCAGAAGAGATTACATGGTGATAACACGCCTTACTAATGCCAAGAGTCTCTGTGAAGAAGGACTTGTACAAGCAGGTGGCAATCAAGAGGCAACTGTGAATACATCAATGACAATGGTTCTCGGCAGGAGAAATTCTAGAAAGTGGTTAGCAGCTATATATAGAAGCCATTCCTACCTAAAAATTATTTCTAAACAGGTATTTTAAAGCAACAACTCTCTTTATTAGGGTATTACATTAGAGCCACCTATGGAGAAAAAATATATGTAAGAATTACTACACATGCCTAAAAGTCAAGAATTTTCCTCTTTTTGATGGGAGACCCTGTCTCTAAGGGTATCCCTATGTAGTTCAGGCCATCCTTGAACTCACTATGTAGCCCAGGCTGCCCTCCAACTCATAGTGATCCTCCTGCCTCAGCCTCCTGAGTGCTGGTGTACACCACCACATCTGGTTTTTCAAAAGTAAGAATTTCACTGGACATGGTGGCATACGCCTGTAATCCCAGCACTCGGGAGGCTGAGGCAGGAGGATCGTTGCGAGTTCAAGGCCAGCCTGGGCTACAAAGTGAGCTCAAGGCTAGCCT